AAATATTAGAGTTTTGAGAAACTTATTGAAAATCAATAATTCGATGGTTTTACGATCGCACATGTTAAAATATGCAAAATATTAGAGTTTTGAGAAACTTACTGAAAATCACAAATTCGATTGTTTTACGATCGCACATGTTAAAATATGCAAAATATAAGTTTTGAGAAACTTATTGAAAGTCACAAATTCGAATGTTTTACGATCGCACATGTTAAAATATGCAAAATATTAGAGTTTTGAGAAACTTATTGAAAATCACAAATTCGATGGTTTTAGGATCGCACATGTTAAAATATGCAAAATATTAGAGTTTTGAGAAACTTATTGAAAATCACAAATTCGATGGTTTTAGGATCGCACATGTTAAAATATGCAAAATATTAGAGTTTTGAGAAACTTATTGAAAATCACAAATTCGATGGTTTTACGATCGCACATGTTAAAATATGCAAAATATAAGAGTTTTGAGAAACTTGCTGAAAATCGCAAATTCGATCGCACATGTTAAAATACGCAAAATATTAGAGTTTTGAGAAACTTATTGAAAATCACAAATTCGATGGTTTTAGGATCGCACATGTTAAAATATGCAAAATATTAGAGTTTTGAGAAAATTATTGAAAATCACAAATTCGATGGTTTTTACATGTTAAAATGTGCAAAATATAAGAGTTTTGAGAAATTTGCTTAAAGTCACAAATTCGATGGTTTTACGATCGCACATGTTAAAATATGCAAAATATTAGAGTTTTGAGAAACTTATTGAAAATCACAAATTCGATGGTTTCACGATCGTACATGTTAAAATGTGTAAAAGGTAAAAGTTTTGAGAAACTTACTGAAAATCACAAATTCGATGGTTTTACGATCGCACATGTTAAAATATGCAAAATATTAGAGTTTGAGAAACTTATTGAAAATCACAAATTCGATGGTTTTACGATCGTACATGTTAAAATATGCAAAATATAAGAGTTTTGAGCAATTTACTTAAAGTCACAAATTAGATGGTTTTACGAGCGTACATGTTAAAATATGCAAAATATAAGAGTTTTGAGAAACTTATTGAAAATCACAAATTCGATGGTTTTACGATCGCACATGTTAAAATATGCAAAATATAAGAGTTTTGAGAAACTTATTGAAAATCACAAATTCGATGGTTTCACGATCGTACATGTTAAAATATGCAAAATATAAGAGTTTTGAGAATCTTACTGAAAATCACAAATTCGATGGTTTTACGATCGCACATGTTAAAATATGCAAAATATAATAGTTTTGAGAAACTTGTTGAAAATCACAAATTCGGTGGTTTTACGATCGTACATGTTAAAATGTGTAAAATATAAGAGTTTTGAGAAACTTACTGAAAATCGGAAATTCGATGGTTTTACGATCGTACATGTTAAAATATGCAAAATATAATAGTTTTGAGAAACTTATTGAAAATCACAAATTTGATGGTTTTACGATCGCACATGTTAAAATATGCAAAATATAAGAGTTTTGAGAAACCTACTGAAAATCACAAATTCGATGGTTTTACGATCGTACATGTTAAAATATGCAAAATATAAGAGTTATGAGAAACTTGCTTAAAGTCACATATTCCATGGTTTTACGATCGTACATGTTAAAATGTGCAACATACTAGAGTTTTGAGAAACTTGTTGAAAATCACAAATTCGGTGGTTTTACGATCGTACATGTTAAAATATGCAAAATATAGGAGTTTTGAGAAACTTATTGAAAATCACAAATTCGATGGTTTTACGATCGTACATGTTAAAATATGCAAAATATAAGAGTTTTGAGAAACTTACTGAAAATCACAAATTCGATGGTTATACGATCGCACATGTTAAAATATGCAAAATATAAGAGTTTTGAGAAACTTATTGAAAATCACAAATTCG